CCCAATGTAGTAATGGGTTCATGTTTGGGGGGTTCCATTTTTTGGATCCTTCAGGGGGTCTGGGTTAGGGCTAAGGGATTGGTGTATAGACCTGAAGGGGCTTCTGCAGTCCCAGAAGGTCGAACCAACCGAAACTTGAGCAACATACCAACAACCGGGTTTCGAGACTGTGCAGATGAGGAGAGTGAATTCAAAAATGAGCGCACCAAGAGCATGTCAGATTTGACAGTGGACGGGCTGATGCCCGACCGATACCCTTAAATATTTTGCAACCGCTCCTAGTTTTCCGCTTCGAAACATTGGGTCGCCAGCAAAACCCTAAGCAACAAAAAGACCCACGTGTCTAAAACTGAAGCTCCTAGAGGCAGGGCATGTTGCAAGACCTTGTTAAGAGGGCGGCCGCCGTGGAATCAAACATGTCGACTCCAGGAACTCCGGAAGGATCAGAGGATGATAAGCCCATATTACTAGTTTCAAATTACTCCATACAGCCCATATAGAGCACGCAAAGAACGTCTCTTCAAAGAGCTTCGAGGATGATGTAGAAGCTGCGTCTAAGTAATAACTGCAATGATAGTAATGATAGTATTAATAGTAATCATATTAACAATAGTAATCATAGTATAGTAGTAATCATAGTAATAAGAGTAATAATGGTAATAAAGGTAAGAAGAGTCATAACAGCAATGATTGTAATGATAGCAGTTATAGCAAAAACAGCAATAATAGCGTCCAGTGCAACGGGAACCCGTGGCAGGCGGCCTTCGTTGCCTCCAAGGCCAGTGGCGTTTTCACTTGGGTGTTCTTCTCTGAGACATGTAGGGATTATGTTCCCTTATTCCTTACTATAACCTCAAGTTTTTTACCTTATTATGAGATAGTAGTTTCCATGTTCTTATCCATTATCCCTATATCGCCTCTAATAGCTCTGATGGTTTCCTGGAGCTCGTGAACATGTTTTGCATGCGTGTTCTACTAGGGTCTCGGGAAGGGTGAATCTTCTAGGCAGAAAGCTGCTCTGGTTCAGGTTCTAAGTCTTTGACGTTGCCAGCCTCTTTGAAAGAGTATTGCGGATGGTCGTTCATCCTCATCCTCATACTTTTTGTCGTGGCTACCCCAAGGAGAGCTGCTGGGAGGCATAAACTCTACACCCTAAACCCTAAATAGTAGTTTCCCTTCTATTTTCCATTATCCCAATAGAACCCCAATATTACCCCAATGGCTACGAATCCAGCCCATCCCGTCTTCCGCCATTCTTACGTCGCGCAGAGAGGCCAAGAAGAGCAAGAAGCCGCCGCCCAAGGTTGAGGACAGTCTGCGGGTTTATATTGGGATAGTGGAAAAGAAGATGGAAACTACAGGGATTATAGGGATTATAGGGATTGCATAGGGGTTATATAGGGTTTATATTGGGGTTCATATTGGGATAATGGAAAAGAAAATGGAAACTATTTGGGGTTTGGGGTTTAGGGTTATGCGAAACAGCGGTCCCCTCCTGACCCCAAACCCTAAACCCTAAACCCTAAACCCTAAACCGTGTCTCAGGGCCAAAGGTGTCGACTCAAAGAGTCAGCCAAGAGATCTGGCCATGCTTCCAAGTAGGGTCGCTAGTTCGTCCTCCACGCCTCCAGGTTTAGGGTTTCGGATTTAAGGTTCTACAGTTGAGCCTGAAGTTGGAAGTATTCAAAATCCACAAATGGTAATTTAATTTCCCAAAATAAGGGGACCCCAATATACTAAAATCCTTGTTATGGGGACTCTCAACAAGGTACCCTGATTTTGGGAAACCCCCAAGTCCCAATCTGTGAGTCTTCCGAGCCTTGCGTCGCCACCGCAGAGGAGCCCGAAGAGGACGAAGATGATGAGGATGAGGCACGGGCAAGACATGGGATTTCCCCAAAATGAGGGGTACCTTTTTGGAGGTTCCCCATGATAAGGGTAATAGCATATTGGAGTCTATATTCCTGTCCCCTGCTGTAGGGGAACTACCACATGTAAAATCAGATTTTAGATGGGAGTGATGCATGAGTTTGGATGATAAGGTTTCCATCAGCAAGCGCGAGGTCATTGTCGGTTTAGGCACAATCTCCGTTACGATAGGCAGTTCCGATATTTCTGCCACTAGACATCTTTTTCAGATGTGTAGCTATGCGTTGTTTATGGGTATCTGGTGCCCTATAAAGCAGATAATAAGGTACCCTACACCCTAAACCTACACCCCAAACCCTGGTACCCTACATATTCAGGGGGTGCATTGGCGCAGATTCAACACCTTCAAGTTCCGGGGGGATTCCCAAAATTAGGGCTACCCTTCAAGGTTTTAATAATACTACGGACTATAGTATTTTGGGGTCTATATTGGGGTCCCTTTAGGAGAACTACCCCTTTGTTGGGCTTACAGGACGTTCTCCCGTTTGTGTGGAGTTTTCGTGTACGTGCTCATGGAGGTCTGAGTCTGTATGCTAGCAGGACGCAGCCACAGAGCTTGGGGAGTGTGGGGGCCTTGAAGAGTCTTCTCATTTATCATAAAGCATTCTGAAACGTGCGACTGTTTTGGGGAGCTCAGGAATCAAGACCTAACATCTTGGGTGTAGAAGGAGAGATCACCATGTTGAACAACAAATACAATTCCAACATATTCCCGATCAAAACCATCAACCTTTCTATGATACCTTTAGGCTCTGAGATAGAGACAAACAGGACCCCAAGCTGAGAAGCTCCCATGCTCCGGACTCTCCGACAGGTATGTTGAGATGGTAGCGTTCAAGTACCGCATTGGGCAGTGGCAGTGGTAGTGGTAGGAGCAGCAGTATCAAAAGCGATGCGACTGCCAATGATGGCAGTCTTTAGTATGTAGTACATGAGAGCATCAAAAACGGCAATAGTCACTCAGTAGTCACCATAATCATCCAACAGTACACCAGGACTAGCAATTTTGGAAGGGAACTCCCCCGGCTGCAGCATGAGGATGAGGAGGAATCGCAAGAGATGGACGATGTCGAGGAGATTTTTGCCAGAGACTGTTAGGGTCTATAGGGTTTAGGGTCCCTGAAGGGAGGTTGATAGTTTTGAGTCGTCAGGCTATGTTTTGGGACAGGAGCTTTTGCCCTAGCCTTCTTGGGCTGAGTACGATGGCTGGTAGAGAAGGTGATCAGAGATACATGATACAGGCAATGATTTTGCTGGCTTTCATTCCGTGAGCCGCCAGATGGGAACATAGGTGAAGCTCCGACTATAGCCCAAAAACCGGTTTGGCTGATATGACGGTGCATGTCATATGCGTCATAGCTCACAGCTGGACTCACATGCCTTCTCTGCATATCTCTGCAAATTCGCATGAGAGCAGGAAAAGTCGCTAGCCTGTCCATCCATGTTCATCACCCTGAGATTCTCTAACAAAGTATCGTGTCTACACCATTGTAGGCTGCACTCAAGGATGAAAGCGCGGCCCCAACGCAAGAAAAAAAGGTTGTCGACCAGAAGATCAGGCAGTACCGTCCCAGTCTGCTACCAGCACTGTAGTTGCTGCTGAAATTCTATTGGCATGCGTCATGCCTTAGGACGATGAGGGCGAAGAAGAAGAAGACGAGGATGAGGACGACAGGCTTTATGTAGACTTCATGTTCCTAGCTCACTCAAGACCTCAATTGGCCTCAAGCTTTGGGACGGCATCTCTGGTTCAATTTGAGCATCTTCAGAGTCCTGATGGCAGATTCATTGGTTGGTTGCACAATATGTCAGAAAAGCAGCATTGTCCTCCCTCAAGTCAACAATCAATAATTTGCACATGCCTTTCTGCTTTTTAGGTGGGTATGTTGAATGTTAGGGGGGAACGAAAGCTGTTATTCCGGGGGCTTAAGGGGATCAGATCACAGCCCGCCATGAGTGAGAGAAGTTGGGAAGACGGCATCTTGGCTTGCGCCTGGGGGATCCAAAGGGATTTCTGGACTGCAAAGTGGGGCCCAGGGAAATCCAGGTTTGATTTGGCCGCGAAATTGGTCTTGCACAGAGGCCTGTTTCTTGAGTCCAAGGTATTGAGCAGGCAGGTATTTGAGAGAGCTACATGATGGGCATCATGCTCACTACGCGTAGTGGCTTGGATTACCAGCCTAAACCCAAAGCCCTAAACCCTAAATGAACGAGTTTGACTGAGAGCAGCCTGCTAGATTGAAATGTTCACCTGAACTAGTGCTGTAGTAACCGAGGGAGGTAAGAACCCCGTGTCGTTCGGGCAGGCATCAAAAGTCCGAGGGGTTGTAAAAAAACACCTAAATCCCGAACTCTTAATCCTAGAGATTTGAGGAACATCACTAGGATGGTATCTACCTGCTTGCTGCGATACGGCATCTTGGGGCTCCCTACCTGCCTGGCCCCAAAGCTCATGACCACCTTTTCTGACACTACTAGTAAATAGTAGAATACGTTATAGTCTATTATACTGGGTTATATTATGTACTATAATCTGCTACAATATACTACAGTATATGTATATATATATATATACGTATAATTATCCTGAGGGGGTTCCTGCGCCTTGCCATTTCAAGTGTTCAGGAAGAACGGCTTGCTGACTAAACTCCTAGCAAAGCAAAATCGCCACAAGGCTAGATGCATCTTGACACCTGAGAAAATCAAGAAGCTACGATCTGTTTCGAACAACGTTGCTTCCACCACAGGACGAAGTTGCCGGCTCGCTCAAAGTGTTCGTTGGCAACATCCGCTGGTCTCAGGAGATGAGACATGTGGTTTCTGGTCTGTTGATATTGACAAACATTTTCCCGTGGCTGTCTGCAGATTTTGCGATTTCTTCCTGTCCAAGTCAGTTCGTTCACTCTGTGCTTCGCAAAGCGTACGGCTTCGAGATGGGAACGGAATCCCTCTGCTTCAAACGTAGCTGTGGGGGCTTCAAGAGAGTGTTGGAGCTGATTAGGGTTCGGGAGATTTGTTTGGGTCAAGGAACTGTAGGATGCGAACGGTCACAATGACAGGGTGTCATCTGTCGCACTGAAAAGTCATTCTTCCCAAGCATCTTGCTCAGCCACGTCTTGTTATGTGCACCACTGGCTAGTGGCCTCATGTTTACACACCCGAACCCATCCCCATGATCGCGCCGTTTCTTCTTTGACAGGACGAAGAGGCCCCGGAGACCGTGTTGGCAAGTGAGTTTGCCAGACAGATTGCAGAGTGCAGGGCGAAGACTTGCTGGATGGAGCAGCAGCACCGTGTGACAGACAACACCATGGCCTGGGAAGGCCGCGATACGAAAGAAGTTCTCTGCGTGCGGCGAAATTGTCAGCGTTGCCTGGCGCTCAGTTTACTCTCTCGCTCTCTCTCCTAATTACCGTCCATATCGGTCCTTTCAGAACCTCAAGCAGCATCTCGATGATGTAGATGACCCTCAGCCCCATAACAAGACTTATGCCTGAAGCAAAGGAGATGCCAAAGAAGCTCTGTTTCCTGACCTTTGCCTCCGCTGCCGGCATGAAGAAGGCCCCTGCCATGATTTTTTTTCGAGTGATGGAGGGGTGCGACACTTTGTGATCTAGATTTGGACAACTGAAGGCAAGCCCACTTGCCCCTTGGGTTGAACTCCCCAGACTTCATGCTAATAGAACCGGGCATAGAGTAAGTATAATTGTTCTATAGTCTTGGGAACTGTGAATTGAAGCAATTGGAGGCAATATGCAGCGATGCGAGGGATGCTATAAAACTTGTGGACAGTCAATCAACGGTGGTCATTGGCAAAAGCCAACTGGAGCTGTATAGTCTATACAGCTCCAGTCGGTGTATAGTCCAGAGCTTCGCGACCGAGAGTGGCAATGTAAAGGTTCAAGGATCAGAGCATCGAGTTTTTTGTTGCGTGCTTCAACCTTGCTTTTAGATGGTTCCACTTGGCGGGTTCCGCAAACTCTGGGCTGGGGCTTTGGCAGCAACCTCCTGAAACCCAGGTGGCGTGTTGTCCTCTTTATCAGGGAAGTGTGACCGTCAACTATATATGGGTGGTTGTCAAAATTATGGTCCCTTTTTGGGTTCCTATTATAATACGGCACCTAATATTTAGGGCACCCAGAAAGGGACCATAATTTTGACAGCCACCCATATGATCAAAGGCCATCAAGTTGGGCTTCTGAGGGTGTTGGCGGAAGGAAATTTTAGCCATACGTAGTTTCAGGAATCACCCGCAACATCTCAGGTAAGTAATTGAACCTGCCATCCAAGCCCTGAGAGGAGAAGTATCTTGCCAGCCGCCTGATCTTTGGGCCATTCAATCTTGGATCGGGCCAGCTGAAACATGTGTGGCCTCAAGCACTTTGCAAACCATCATGGATGCTTGAGGTAACGGCCGCCTTGCACGTGACCATTAAATTTCCCCATGCAGAGACCCCTCAAAGCCCTCGATTGCAATATTTCCAGTATCAGAGTGGTATGCCTGTGACCGCGTCCACGTCTGAAGATCTTGCCCGAAGCACAAGGCTTGTTTTCTCTGGAATCCTGAACTTAGTGGTGATTACTATTGAATATGGGAATATACGATGGCAGGGGTTATACAGGAATAATATGGGGGTTATATTGGGATTGCATTCCCTGATAAGCGCTAACCCCCAGGAAGTAAACTGCAGGCTCTGGAGCTTGATGGGCAGGAGTTCAATGGTGAGGCCGGGCGGATTCCTCCACTCAGGCTCACTGTGTGTTGAGGGAACGGAGTAGTGCGGGGTGTATAAAGGGAATTGTATGTGCCTTTACATTAATACATGTCCCAGAAGCTGAGTCCCCTTCTGCAAACGACGTTCCCAGCAAAGCTCTCCAACCAGCAGGCCCCAATCATGAAAACCCAAATTTTCGAGTTTCTGAGGGTTAGTAGGGAATTGGGGAATATATTATATGGGGATTATATTCCCTCATTCCCTACAAGCCCCAGGTGAGACAATTTGAGATTTTCTCCGCCTTCAGCCCCGCTGCAGCAGTCCCCCGTGCCCAAGCTCAAGCCCTGAATCCTCTCAAAATACGGCGGTTTCCCCAAACTAGGCTTACCTTTGAAGGGGCTTTTCCGGGATTATAGAAGGGTATATAGGGATATGTATCTATATATGCATATAGATATACAAGCTTTAAGGTTTCTCAAACTTAGGAGTACCATTCTTGGCGTCCCAAAGATAAGGATCATGGCATTTTGGGGTCTATATTCGGGTCCCCCTCTTTACGGAGACTACCACCCTGACTGTTTGACTTGTTTCTTTCAAGGGGGAGAAGATTCATGTTCCTCCCCTGCCCTAGAACCTTGACCCGCTCCAGCACTTGAGGGCTTCAAAGTCAAGCCGGCCATTGACAAGCAGCTTCAAGGCTCTAAGCGAGGCGTTGCATTTTGGTTTCAAGATGGGTCTACCATAGGGGTAATATTGGGGTTATA